TGCTCCAGGTCACTGCAAGAACAACTTTTTGTCCAAATATGTGTTTATTTATTATGAATTTTTGACTCTTTAATTTTAACTATCTAAATGATGTGGCCTTTTTTTGCAAAGTGAAATTCTTAATCTTAAGGAAGCACAATTCAAAAAAATTTTCTTGTATCTTTAGTGTTCTATTGTATTACTTAAAAGATTTTTGCTTACTGTGATATCATAAATATATTCACTAAGAATATTTAATTACTTTTCCCTTGTATCTAATTTTACACTCACTCTGAGATGATACTGTGTATAGTGTGCACAGTATGAGGAAATTTTTCTTATTATTGTTCAGACTAGATTGACTAAACCCTTTTTCCATAAAAAGACTCTCTTATGAAGCCTAATTTTCACAAACAGTTCTGATGTCACCTACACTGTTTATATATTCTTTTATATTCCACTCTGTCATTTGTCTATCCTGTTACTAATACTACATCTTTACTTAATTGCTACAACTGAAAATAGCAACTTAGTTTTCTTGCTTTTTTGTCAAATGTGTTCGTTGTTCTTAGCCCATATAAAATACAGAATCACCTTGTGATAATTAGTTCGAAAATATTTCTATGGTTAATTCTATTAAATTTAACCACCATATGAATATGGAAATAACTAGTTGATAATATTGAGGTTCCACATTTCATTTTCATATTGTAGACCTCAATTCACTTAGGTCTTTAATTTGTCTTAGAGGTTTTAAACATCTTTGTTGGGTTTTCTTCTGTTTAATGATTTTATAATACTAATATTGTCTTTAATGAAATGTCTTAATAATGGACTTTCATACTAGCTTTAAACTTTCTTGCTTGTTGTGTTTTTTAAAATATCTTCCATATAATTCAAAAATTATAGACAATGTGTAAGAATAATCTAAATCCCAAGATCCTCCAATTTTAACATTGTCCTTTATTGGATATATTCTTTTTTATTAATTTTTTTGAGAAAAAGTTGCAATGTGATAGCTTCAAAACAGGTTGCTAGGAGCATTACAACAATTA